AAACTCCTTTTCTAGAGCCTGATGTCTCCGGTTTGCTTGTTTGTCTGCCCTCTTGGAGGTCTTGTTCGAAGACCTGCCCTTGGTTTTAGATACAGGCATGTCAGGACCCTCCAGACTGGGTGGAGCGACAGACATTAAAGTGGATGGAGGAGGCGCAGCGCCTTCTGAAGAAGAATTGGTAGCCTCCATTCTCAGATAGCACAGGAACTCGAGTGGGACCCCCTGGTATCTAGAGAATACAACCTCTGGGTGAGGACACACGCACTGTGGGTACGTCTGGAACCCAGGTACTTTTGGGACAGAATAGGTAATATTAGTGGTCGGATAAGGACAGTCACACTGTGAGTATGTCTGGAATCCGGCTTAATTTGAGGAGGAAAGGACAGATGCTCTGAGGGAACACCTGGAATCCTCGTGTCCCAATGACACGATAACAGTCACGAAATTGAGTGACTTTGGTCCTCAACGTGTCAGACAAGCAGACTAGGAGACACAAGGCCTGAGAAGGAATTTTCTGTTCAGAATTCTGTTCAGAATTCCTAACACTCGAGGGATATAGTGTTGATAATGGAAGGTGGGTCCCCGTCAGAAGGAGGCCTTCAAAATGGCGGCCGAACCTTTAAATGGCGTTTTTTCCTTATGCTGCCAAACTCCTTCCCCCCCCACAGCAGATAACTAAGTTAATTCTTGTGAAATAATAGAGGGGAAAGGCTCTTTGTTCCCTTTAAACTCAATAGTTGTTCGGTAACTTCCCTCGTCGTGCGGTCCAAAATGGCGGCCGCGCGCGATGGCAAGTAACTCCCAAAGAGCTGCTAGGCCTATGGAAGGCAGCCCGAGAACGAAGAGCACGCTGGCGTGCTGAACTGCAGCTGGGGACGAACGGCCGTTCGTCAGGCTTGATTTAAAGCCAGCTGGTCTCCCTCGCAGCTCGCGCCTTTTCTGAGGCCGTTCGTCGGCGATCGGGGCCTAACGAGCTGCAAAACGTCCTCGGCTATCCCCCTCGTCGCGCAGCTCAAAATGGCGGCCGCGCGATGGCAACGGGGGACGGATCGCTCCCCAAGCCTCCCCAAGCCTCCGAACTGTTGCCCGAACGCAAAAACGGCCCCGACGGTTAAGGCGCGCGCCTCCCCAGCCGGGTCTGAAGATCGAGGCCGAGGTTGCCTGTCGGATGCAATGAGGCTGAGGCCTAAGTCTAAACGAGCCTCGCTTGCTGCGAGGCAAGTCCTTACACGCCGTTCGTCACCGGGCCGCAGCCGCGAGCTCCGGTGAGAACGGATCAATCGGTGTTGGGAGAAGGGAACTGGGAGGGATCCCCTTCTCTTCTATTATTGCAGGGAGGAGGGGAAAGGAAGAAGGAGCCCCTTCTTTCTATAATCCCGATCCTCCCCCCACTGGCAGAGCTAAAGGGATCTATCTCCTAACAGATCTAATTGCTTAAAATCAGACTAAATAGGCAAGGAAGGTGGAGGATTCACCAATGATCAAGACTATACCTGCCTAAGAGCCAGAGTTGTACGTCCGTCCATGGGCAAGATTAAGTCAAGACTGGAATCTAGGGTCCAGGACGGGCGTGGCAACTTTGGCTGACTTAATCTGATTGGGCAGGAATACAGTCTACTACCCATGGGTGGATCCTCCATCTCCAGTGCTGGAGAAATACCCAGCAAAAAGATCTCTGGTTTCCAGTCTACGGGTTGGTCTATTATTTCTTCAATCCATCTTCTTATTTTAGTCCAGTATTTTTTCTAGGCCTTCTTCTTGAGCCACTCCTTTGTTTTGGGTCATTGGCATGCTGGAATACCTGTCCACGACCCATTTTCAATTCTCTGGCTGAGGGAAGGAGGTTCTCACCCAAGATTTGATGGTACATGGCTTCGTCCATCGTCCCTTTCATGCGATGAAGTTGTCCTGTCCCCTTAGCAGAAAAACACCCCCAAAGCATAATTTTTCCAACTCCATGTTTGATGGTGGGGATGGTGTTCTTGGGGTCATAGGCAGCACTCCTCCTCCTCCTCTAAGCACGGTGAGTTGAGTTGATGCCAAAGAGCTCAATTTTGGTCTCATCTGACCACAACACTTTTACCCAGTTCTCCTCTGAAGCATTCAGATGTTCATTGGCAAACTTCAGACGGGCCTGTACATGGCTTTCTTGAGCAGGGGGACCTTGCGGGCGCTGCAGGATTTCAGTCCTTCACAGCATAGTGTGTTACCAATTGTTTTCTTGGTGACTACTTTCCCAGCTGCCTTGAGATCACTGACAAGATCCTCCCGTGTAGTTCTGGGCTGATTCCTCACCGTTCTCATGATCATTGAAACACAAGGTGAGATCTTGCATGGAGCCCCAGACGGAGGGAGATTGACAGTTATTTTGTATTTCTTCCATTTGCAAATAATTGCACCAACTGTTGTCACCTTCTTACCAAGCTGCTTGGCGATAATCTTGAAGCCCATTCCAGCCTTGTGTAGGTCTACAATCTTGTCCCTGACATCCTTGGACAGCTCTTTGGTCCTGGCCATGATGGAGAGTTTGGAATCTGATTGATTCCTTTTGAGATTAGGGACACTCCCTTTAAGAGAGTGCTTCTAATCTCAGCTCATTACCTATATAAAAGACACCTGGGAGACAGAAATCTTGCTGATTGATAGGGGATCAAATACTTATTTCACCCATTAAAATGCAAATCAATTTATAACTTTTTTGAAATGCATTTTTATGGATTTGTTTGTAGTTATTCTGTCTCGCATTGTTAAAATAAATCTACCATTAAAATTATAGTCTGATCATTTCTTTGTCAGTGGGGAAATGTAGAAAACCAGCAGGAAATTAAATATTTTTTTCCCTCACTGTACCTGTGTGTACACAGGGAGGCTATTAAAAGAAGGTGTGTGTGTGGTGGGGGGGGAATCACAGAGAACTTGTAGATGTGCGCAATCTTCTTTGCTGACTTCTCATTGATATTACTTGGATGAAGCTGGCACAGAGGGTCACACATTGGTGTCCATGTTGTTGCAGGACACTGCAATTGGTTGCAAGTGCAAGCTGGATGCCATGCAACTAAATTTTGCTCACCTGACTGTGAGGGTAGTGCTGGAACTTTGAATACTGATTTTAAGTAGTTCAATAGCATTGCAGCTTCAAACAGTTACTGAATGAATGGTCATAATTCAAGGACCTTTTCAAGCATATTTGTGGGTAATTATTTTGCCTTTAAATACGTAAAATCCTAAAATTAGAACCTGGTCTTAAAACCGTAACATGCACAATTTCCTTACCCGTTCATATTCATCCTTTGCTTTACTAAGCAACTCTAGGATATCTGTGCAGCCATTAACCCGACTGACATTTTTTCTATCCTGTAATTGTTGCTGGGATCTCTGAGTTTCTTCCTGTACCACCCTATCACAAAAGAGAAGAAAAGACTACTTATATTTAGAATATATTTTAACAACATATACCTTTCTTGGAAAAGCATGATTTTAATGAAAGGAAGAGCACACACAACACGCAAGTAAAAACAAGATTAAATGTAATAGGCAATATAGATTAATCACTATAAAGTATACATTATTTATTCCATTATACACTGATCTTTAGTCTGCCCATTTTATTTTAATAAAAGGATTTACAAATTGCAATAAGCAACCATTTGCTCTGACTATGGTTTGCTGAATAAGTTAATAATGAATATCTTGATTCATAATAGTGAGCCATAAACCAGTGTACAACATGTAACCACTTGTTTTATACACTGCATTAGAAACCTCATGAATGTTTTCTTCACAATTTATTTATTATGGACTTTCAAATAATTTGTGTTTACTACCTCCATTACAACTTAGCTGAATATATTATTGTTAACTTTGCTTTAAATATGTATAAACCACTTTGACAATACATTTTGCCCAGAAATATAAACAATGCTTTAGAATAAAATAAAAAGAAATGCAATGTTTAATCTTTTCTCATTGATTCAGAACATTTTTACTAACTTAAAACAAACTGGCTCAAACAACTTGAAATGAAGACAGAGTTAGGATATTAGGCTAGGACTGAGAAGACCCAGACTTAAGTCTACCCTCAATCATGGCTGATAATTTGGGCTAAACAATCTCTCTCAGTCCAACCCATTTCACAGAGGTGTTGCTATGGGGATAAAATGAATTGAGATCCCCAGGTAAACTGTAATGGGGGAAAGGCAGGATAAAGATCAAATTAATATGACATACTAAAAGTAATGGCGCAAGTATCTATTTTTCAAAGAAAAAAAATGGTGCAGATTTTAGTCTTAAAAATAAAGCCAGGTAAGGACACTATCAATCATTTTGGGTATATTTGGAATGGTGAGAATATGTAATAATATTAAAATCATATTGAATAACTATAAATTTAAAAATATTTTGCATTCTCACAAAATGGCTGCCATGGCAGAGAGCTAGCCTATTACTATTATGTTGAGGATACTTTCTCTAATATGAATGATTAATAACTCTATTACAGTATATATACAGTATATATAAGAGCCGTGGTGACGCAGTGGTTAGAATGCAGTACTCAGGCTAACTCACTGCTCACTCCAGGAATTCGATTCTGAGTGGCTCAAGGTTGACTCAACCTTCCATCCTTCCGAGGTCGGTAAAATGAGGACCCAGACTGTTGGGGGCAATATGCTGATTCTGTAAACTGCTTAGAGAGGGCTGTAAAGCACTATGAAGCGGTACATAAGTCTAATTGTTATTGCTATATGTCTTTGCCTTTTAGAGTGGGCAAAACAAATAAAGCACTAGGCTGCATTTTCTAAGGATGTCTGTGAGCTTCTATGTACTTAAGATAAGTTATTTAAACAAAGATGACACTAAATGTGGGAACACTATGTTTGTAAAATCCACACTGGCTATCTCTAGTCTAAAACAAAATCTGAGTACATCCATCTTCTGAATCTTATGCCTACATTAGCTATAATGTGGATTATTTAACGCAGGACTTTTCAACCTTTTCACCCATTGTACCACTTTTAGGATATGGCAATATCTAAGTACCACCACTCGCCTAGCAAGGTGTCAAAAACCTGATGACCCCCCCCCCAAAAAGGAAAAAAGTGATAAAGTACAGATAGTCCTCGACTTACAACAGTTCGCTTAGTGACTATTCGAAGTTACAATGGCACTGAAAAAAGTGCCCCCCAAGCCACAGCCGAGCAAGACACCTGCCTGCCCACCCAGTGGCACTCTTCCTCCTGCCCGAGGTTTTCATTGTTGTAAGCATTTCTATTGAGGATTGGCAGCGGGGGTGGGGTGGGGGGGTGTTTGGTTTTTATTCCCCTCGTCTGCTTGGTGGTTGCAGCAGATTTTGGTCACTTCAACTGACTCTGGGATACTGTGACCATCATAAATATGAATCAGTTGCCAAGCATCTGAATGTAAATCACAAGACCCTGGAGATGCTGCAACATAGGGTTTCCTGCCTAAGCAGGGGGTTGGACTAGATGACCTTCAAGGTCCCTTCCAACTTTACTATTATTATTATTATTATTATTATTATTATTATTATTATTATTATTATTATTATTATTATTATTATTATTATTCCAGCTGATTGGTGCTTTTTCAGGGCTCAGCAGAAGCACCAGGATCAGTGATGAGCTCCAGCTGGAGCCTGACGCTGATCCTGGCGCTTCCACTGAGCCCAGACAGCCCTGCAGCTCCAGCCATCTCTCACTCAGGCTTGTGCGGTGCTGCCACCGGTTCAGCTCATTCCCCTCCCCCACTACTACTTTTCTAGGATGGTCGCGTACCACCTGCCAGGTGCCAATGTACCACAGGTGGTACCCGTACCACTGGTTGAAAAGCCCTGATTTAACGTATTTTGCAATATAGTTGCTAAACTGCATGAAGGAATGCACATGGACATTAAGCTGCATTTAATTTGGATTAGGTCATTACATAAATACATTGTATCATTAGATTCATATGCCACTACATCTGCAGGTATTACAGTATATATCATCAGATTATACAGTCAAGGGAATCATATGTGTATTTTCATCAATTCCTCACACCAAATCTATCAATTACTAGTAGGGGTGTTATGAAACTTTCATACTGTCATATTCAATTTCAAAAAGAAATACTTCTAAAAATAAAAGGGCTTGTAGAAAACAATCCAAAAGAAAAAAACCAAGTGGATTAATTTTCTCCATTCCAAAGCTAAAATAAAAACTCAGGTACGATATATAGTGCAAAGGTAACGTCACCCAAAAGGTCACCAACACTGCTAATAAGAATAAATGACATTATTAAGAAAAATTAAAGTTACACTCAGAAAGAAACATTTCTTAAATTATAGATAAAATCACATGAAGATCTTTAACAAAAGGCAGCAAAACCTTTTAAATGATCTTATTAAACTGAACAGGCATTAAAATGATGAACTATCTAATGTAATAAATACAAGATGGCCTTATATCCCACTGAGAATCATTTTGGATTGCAGTGGGATAAAAATGGAATATGCTGGATAAGATTGTGATAGATAGCTTAATAAAATATTTCAGGTTATTTTGAAAAAGGCCAACTCCATCTCGGATTTAATGGATAAATCTAAAATACAGTAACAGATAGAATAATATGAATTAGAAATAGTGACCAAATATACAGGCATATAACTAAAAGCTTAAGTTATTTACATTACAAGCAAAGAACAGGTTAACTGGAATGGGCTTCTACATTAAATCTAATAACAATAACAACTTAGCAATGCTTGATCAGGTACAAGTTGCTATTTTATTATACACTTATCGCAAAAGTTGTAAGGAGGAAAAATGGAAGAGAAACTGACAGAAACCATTGTTTCAGTGTATCTATGTTAAAAGTGAACAATTCTCTCTCAACAGAGGGGGAGGGATATGGCACCACACCATTCATCCCACTATTAGCACCACACTATCCTCTCCTTTACAATGCAGCCCAGTCCCAACAGGCTTCTGCCATTATTTGCATTCTGATTCAGGTGATCCTGAGGACACAGATTAGATCTTAGGTTGTTTCAATGACCCTCAGAGTGAATGTTAATGACTGGCCAACTGCAGAGAGGATAAATCCCTTCCTTTCCCCACCAGTTGGTTAGAACTGAAGAAGCTTTTTGGATGAGAAGTGAAACACCTTAAAGAAAAATCAGAAAGTCCAATTGCCTTTAAAATAAAAGCACCTTTGGGGCAACTATGACCTGGGTGAATGAGAACCTCCATGGACAGTTCTTTAAATGATTTTGACTGAAAACAAGCATGTATTCCTTAAGAAATACTTAGGTTACATATTTTTTTTAAAATCGCAATATCCTTTATATGCTGAATGTCTGAATGTCTCCTGAGAATTCAAAGCATTATGACAATGCAGGAAAGTGAGGAACGTCTGTATTTGGCGTTTTTAAGACTAAGATGTTTGAAGTTATAATTTATATACCACTCCATTTCCAGAGACTATCAGAGTGTTATAGTACAATTATATTAAGATTAAAAACATCAATATAATTATAAACAGTCATTCAGTGCTACCACTCATTGTGATTTTAAATTATCTCCCGCAGACATACAATCATACCTTAGTTCCAAATGTGGGATACAGAATTACAATTTGACTATTTCTTCCAAACATTAAGTCACAATGTATTTTTGTCATAAGGTATTACATTAAGTCATAATGCGCCTTTAGAAGGTGAGAACAAAAAAAACAACCATGCAAAAACCAACTTTGCAGTGAGATGCCATAAAGCTAAAAATAACCTAAGCATGTTTATTCATGCTTTCAATTTTTATATTAAATTATATTAAAAAAATAGGTACTTACTTAGACATGAGTTTTGCTATTCGATGACAGTCATTCTTGTCATAAAACCAGATACTGTAAATTAACACTGGAAGATATTTGAAAGAAGGAAGTGATTATTTTTTTTAAAAAAATAAGCTATTACAGGATGAATAAAAATGTAAAGCATCAGCAGAATGAATTATGTCAAACACTAAAAAGAGAAAAATGTGAAGTATAACTGCTGGAGGAAGATGGGTAAAAAGAACAAAAAAAATTGTAAGGACTGAAGAAGAAGGATTAATGAAACAAAGGGAAGGAAGAAAAAAAAATCAGTTGGGAAGGGCAGGTGATTCAGATCTAAACCAGAGAAGCATAAATATATGGTGGCCAAGCCAAATATATTTTTAAAAAAACCTGAAGTATAGCCAATAAGTAAAATCAAGCTCCCTAAATATAAATATATAGTTATCACACTGCAATTTCTGGGTCATAACACTAGTTTCAATCTTTTTTTAGAGACAAGTTATCCCATTGAACCATGAGCTTTACTTCCAACTAAGCATACAAAAACTATATATTATTTAGTACTCTGGTTGTCCAGGCATTGGGACAGCAATACTACGGTACTGATCAGGGTTCCTGCAAATAGTTTCCCCCTGCATCCCAGTGCAATGTTTCGGAAGTGGAGATTGCCATGCAATATATGAAGTCAGTATAGGATCTGCTTAAGATCCTGTGAGTTCTTTGAAAATCCTGTAACCCATTAGGGTGCAGAAAGTTGTCTTTCTTATGTATTTGGAGGTATTGGCTAAGCTGGGAATTTTGGATCTCATTCTGTGAGATTCTTGAGAGGCAATGTTTCTTCATGGTAATATGCTAGGAACTACTTTTTAAATTTACCCATGGCTATCATTTCCTGCTTGCCAGTTTAGAGCTAAGTAATTCAGATCATTTGGGGAATGATGCTTAATCCGATGTCTTATATTTCCTGTGGAGGACAGTTTCTAATTCTGCTAGAATTGGAGTTGTCTGCAATTTCAGTGTTGAAACAATCTTTTTTGTAAAGGTTGGTCATGGTTTTCTCTTGGAAAGATTTACAGTTTTGCCCTTTGTAGTGTCATTCTCCCAAGCTTCGAATCTACTACATGCTAGTTCTCCATGTAGCTACTGCTCTGCTGGTCATGTGATTAATGATCCAAGATTTTTTTAAAATTAGATTTATGGAGAACAAGTTTGCAGGAGCTAATATTCATGTTATATTTTTGTACCCGATTGTGGCTTTCCTATCTTCTGACCAGCAAAGCACATTAACCCTATGGATTTTCTGAAATAGACATACTGTCCATTCTTTCAAAACACCCTAAAAGTATGATTTTACATACTTAGTGAAAGTCTATGTAGCAGAAACCAGAATAACCAAAGGCTGAGTCTGAACTGGTTGTTTATTTGAAAAAAAGTTAAAAGCAGGGGCAAATCTTGCTGGCCTGTTTTGTTCAAAGGAAATAAGGTATGGGTAAGAACAGAATTTATTCTATCCATAATTGAGCAGGCCATTTAGCTCATGGATGTGAAAAAGCAATACATATCTGAGTGCAACAACCAACACTTTACATCAGGGGTCTTCAAACTTGGTTCTTTTATGATTTGTGGACTTTAACACCCAGAATTCTTCAGCCAGGCACGCTGAAGTCATAAAAGGGCCAAGTTTGAAGACCCCTGCTTTAGATGATCACTTCTTAGGACTGTAGAAATAATCGTCTACAGAGATGAAAATGTGTTGGTAAATCCAGCACCTGGAAGAGATGTAGCTTCAATATGTGAAGCCACTTATTCAAGGGCACCAATAGAAGAGCTCATTTAAGAAGACTAGAACTATCTGGTTTGACTAATCCAACTTCAATCAGAAGCTGAATAAAGGCTAATTTGGAGCTTATAAAATCCCTGCAAGTTTCAGTAGGATTCTGCTGAACAATGGCATGAGACATAAGCAAATATCCTTTGGCCTGATTTTGGCCACCAGAACCATAATATTTTTGCTTTGTTTACTTATATCTTATGAAGAAGAAATGAATGTACTGCACTGGAAGGTAAAGATATTAGAATATGGAACCCTAAATTCCCTAGATAGCATTTCAGTATGAAGAATAATTAATCTAGAGCTATAAGCATGATGGAATAAAACATACAGTATGTCTAAAATAGATATCAAAGCCAAGAGCTAATGGATAGCTAAACATAGCTATCAAAGAAAGAAGACACATAAATACTTTTCAATAGATTGCAGTGATGGCTGCTGACACATTAGTTCAGTGCATCAATTTAAACTCCATTTTATCCTGGAACTTCAGTGTCAACTTATGGTGATTTGCATTCTTTAGCAAATTAAAAATAAATCAAAGTAAAAGCAGGCTTTAAAATAAAAGTCAATTTTAAAGGCACTTTAGATAAACAAGTAGCAGACTAATTATTCAGACATATACTGAGCTCTTGAAATATTACACAAATAGTTACTAATGAATTGACTAAAATAGCAATTCCAGTTAAATCTGGAGAACACGGTCAGTGTGCTACTAAAAGAGGTACTACCATATATGAGATATATGCTATTTGCCTGCTGCATAACAATACTTTCAGATCAAATCTTTATTAGTCATAGACCAGCATAAGGATAATGGGGTACAAACAATTTGTAATTTAAAAATGCTAAAAGATGTGTGTATGTGTGTGTGTGTATAAAAGATAGATCCAAGTCTAATTTTTTAAAAGTTAAATACAAAAACACACTTGAATAATGAACTAAGTGCTCATTAAGATTAACTTGTGGCACAGGTCATCATCTGACAGATTTTAAACACTGCTGTTCAGAACCTGGTAATATTTATGCTGTAGCAGGTTTAGTATCTGCAAACAGCAGGGAGATGTAGAATTTGTCTTGTGCACTTTGGGTATTTATGCATTAATAAAACTGCATACAACTAGTACAAATGTCTCTGTAATACAGGCACTGGAGAACATACTCTGTTGTTTCTATGTATCCAGAGTCATAGGGGCATTGTCTCTCTAGGTAGGGAATTTTCCTGTTGGTCTTCAAGGATAGCTCAGGGAATGGCATGACGCTGAGCCAGAGTAAAGGCTTTCCATTGTAATACTTTCATAGATTTATTTTTTCTTTGTATTTTCCTCAACTAATTGCATCCATTCAACCTAAATTGAGTGTTAACTTGTTCTCATTGTGTGTCAGGCGTGAATAACCAGACCTACACATGTAAGTTCAAATTAGCTACTTATTGTTCTAGGCCTATTTCACAGGAATCTCTCCAGACTGGCAGTTTTCACCTGGAAAATACTAGATAAGACTCAAAGCGGGACTGGGGGTGGGGATTAGACCTTGCCCTCTTACTCTGAGTCCAGAGTAATTCCCCCACTTGAGTCCCCCTCCCGACTTTGACAGTTGCTCTCCAACATCATGTCACACATAAACAGTAAAATTCTGACTCAACATACCCTTTGAAGGAAAGGTGTTTCATAAATATAAATGTTTATTAAATATTAATGTCATTTGCATAAATTTGCATCATCATCATAATCACATAGATACATCAATTGTTTGGACAGATTTTATACTTAGTGGCCTTTGTGAAGTCAAACTTTGTGCACTAAATCCAAAAATCCTTTAAATAAAAAGTGTTAAACTGAGATTTTACTGCACTTAAATAGGAGAAATTTTCTAAACTTCTAAAAATGGTATTTCCTAAATAATATATTCAAATGCATACTTACAGTTGGCATTTCTATACAGAAGAAAAGGTTCATGAAGTTGAAACTCCAAGTCTTTGTTTACGGGCTCAACCAAGTTGTGCATATTCAATCGATTTACAATTGTAAAACCATGGTAAGGTGAAGCAGACCTATTATTTCAAGGGAAACAAATTATGGATAAACTGATCTGCAAAAGCAGAAGAAAGGCTGACAGCTGCAGCATTCTGAAAGTGCCATTGAAGAATAAGTTGAAAAATGAAGAAAAGACAGAGAGCAAGATAATTAGCAATAGTTTGCATAAGCACAATCCTTGAGATTTTCTGCAAGAGACTATGGAGAGCTTTGTGCAAACAGAAGCATAGTATCAAACATTTTATACTAAGTTTTAAAAATGCCCATTGCCAAACAGAACCACTATTCAGAGACACAGCATCTCTGGATTCATTTCAACACATTATACAACCATAGTACTGATTATGAATAATGCAATACTGCTTAATTGCCCTAAGTAAATACAATATTATATCTGCAAGAGACAAATATCACAGACTATGTTCTACTATACTGTTAATCCAATTATTCCTGAAAGTTATTTCATTACCTTTTATACACAAATAAGGTACCTTCTATGTCAGTCTTCTCCTATAACAAAGGAAAACAATAACAAATTAATTCAAGCAAAGGTCATTTGATGCATTCCTAAATTATAACTATGACATAATGAATGGGATTGATTTAATTCAACAGTAGAGGATGGAACAATCCAAAGATTCACCCTGATAACAATTCATTAATACCTACACTAGAAATAATTTCAGAAATATTGACTGCATAACAGCTGACTTGGAAAATATACCATTACAAAAGTTTATAATTACAGTCTTCAAATTAATGATATAAAGTCATGATTTTTGTAACAGTAAGCCTTTTTTAAAAAAATAAATAAAGCTACATTGTTTATTAGTCTAACAACGTCTGCAAGCATATTAGTAAAAGAAAGTTGTGTAATTTTTCATATTAATCATACGATCAGTAGCAAAGTTAAACATGTAACACATTTTTGTTTTTTTTCCAAGTAAAGTCACTCTAAAATGCTAATGCTGATGGATTACAAATTTAAAGAAGTTTCTGTCACACATATCTCAGAGCAATAAATTGTCATACTCAAATCTGACACATGAAAAAGAATATATGCTTTCATCATCAAGACTTCATGTGAGTGACCATACTATATTGCTCACTTTATTCACTGAAGGGACAAAGTGTACAGATAGAAATCGAGAAAATATAAAATTAAAAAGTCAAGAGTCTGAAAAATGTAGATGTACAACTAAGAGATCATCAACAATATTTTATAGTTTGTACAATAGATGATTTTATGCTTGTTATGATTATCAAAGGCAACTTCAAAGAAAGCAGTGAACCTATCAAGTTACAGTCAGCTTCTGGTGCTGACATCAACACAGTTTATTTTCTTGGCAACACTATGGAACACATTTGCCATTGTGTTCTCCTATTCTTTTTTTTTTAATTTGATCTCTCATTCTAACCTAAACATCTTAGTTGTCTCCCAAGTACTAAACAGATCTCATCCTGTTTAGCTCTTCTGAAACTGGCCAAGGATTGCTAGACAGCATTAAAATTAAAACTAGTCAGCAGGAAAATTGAAGAACAAGAATCTCTAAGAATCCAGAACAAAAATGTTTCCACTGTTACAGTAAAAGTTCTTGATTTCCAACATCAAGAAGCTGCAGTACAAAAACATCTCATACAACAACCTTTCAAATAACTTTTAGTCCCAGATCAGTTTTAATGAGGTTATTCCTATTCAAACAAGGCAGTCTTCATAGGCAGAACACAGAAATTCTAATAACATAACTTAAAATCACTGGGAACTAGACTGCATACAGACTTAATAAATAAAATTATTCTATTCAAACAACTAAATGAATGCAAATATTTCATTTTTAAAATAAATTTAAAATAAATTAAAATACATTTATATTTTCATGTAAATATACTTTGTTCAGAGCAGCAATACAGAGAAGGAAACAATTAAAACCAGCAGCATTTAAGTTTGCCAAACCAGCCACACCAAATTGATTTACCACACTATCAATGATGGGATTTTAATATGTTATTTTTCAATATAAGTTGGCAAATAATTTTCATTTTGAGGACTTAGGAGTCCTGGAACCACACTTTAAGAAACATTGTTCTGGAGGAATAAGAAAAAGTTAGCCAAGAATTGCACTAAATTTAATTTCTTTCTCAGCGTGTGCTATTTAAATTCAATGTATTCCTTTTTCAGCAATGTACTATATTTAAGTTCAATGTATTTCTTTTTCAGCATGTGCTATTTAAGTTTAATTTCTTTCTATAATATTTAGTTTACGCAAACTCAATGACTGCTTTATGTCACTGAAAATTTGTTTAGAGCAGAAATTATTCAAATTAGAAACAGAACAGTATCATCTTTTGGTCTGTTAGAGCCTTTTGAATTTCCCCCTACTTGATATCTTTTGGTTTGTATTTTGAGTATTATACTCTATTCCACATAAATACATTTAATGTTTTTAAAACAACTTTTTATATTTCCGGTTTCTTTTTAAATTAAAATTTTATTTTTTATAAAATATTTATAAAACAAGAGATTGGTTCATCTTCCTACAAAGGAAGGGGGGAAAGGAGTGATTTCTCCAGCTATGTATCTCAATAAAATTTATTTCATTCCCTGCCCCCCCCTCCATTTAATTTACCACAAAACAAAATCAAATCGTAGGAACACCACAAAACACGATTACAGAGAGAAAACTAGATCAGGGGTAGTCAACCTTGGCTCTTTTATGACTCGTGGACTTCAACTCCCAGAATTCCTGAGCCAGCTAAGCTGGCTCAGGAATTCTGGGAATTGAAGTCCACGAGTCATAAAAGAGCCAAGGTTGACTACCCCTGAACTAGATGAACGATAAACGGCGACCCCTCAGCCCAAGAAAGTGGGTGTGTTTCTGAGCTCTTGAAGAGCGGTTCTGTGCTCCTTGGGGTTCTAGCTCTTGGGGCTAGAACCTTCTGCCCCAAGCAAGAGGCTCGCTCCGTGAGGGGCGGCGGCGGCGGCAAGAAACCGGAGGCGCCCCACGAACCGCTAAGGCACCGCCGTGGGAAGCGGAGTTGGAAACCACGCATTTTTATCAAGACCCTCCTCTGCCTCGAGGCCACTCACCCATTCGTTGGCCTTTGGACTGAAGCGATAAAGGGCCACCTGGCCGGTCACGTCGGCAATGCTGGTGATGTAGGGATCGTGCTGCTTTAAGGCCGCCAGGCTCATCTCTTGCCCCGCTTTATTCAGAGACTCCATCTTGGATCCGGATCTCGGCAAGAGTGGAGAAAGGAAGGAAGAGAAAAGAACAGGGGAGCGGAAACCGCGGGAACGCAGGGATAGTCCGCTCTGCGCGCAACCTTCCTCCTCCGCCGGGCGGGAATTTGTACCCCAGACTTTCCGTTCCGGTCCTTGGGGAGGGGCGTCGGAGAAGTCGCGTGTTTTCGTTTCTCCTCG